GAATTTGGTGTCTTCTCCCACCTTTGGCTCCCACTCTGGCCAGGAACTTCCAGTGTGATCTCTTCCAGGGCGGTTGGCAGTGGGAGCTGGGCACTGTCTAGTTCGTCTGGGCTCGGGGCTGGGAGGCTGGGCTCCTACTGGGGACTGGTGCGCTGGGGAGCAGAGGGAAGGGACAATGCTACATCCAGGTAAGGATGGCAGGCAGTTGGGCGGTTCGTCCTTTGGGCTGAGACTTTCCTTGCGTCTTTGGACGGCGGGGATGGGGGACGGACCACTCTGCTCAGAAGCTTTTGAGACTCGGTCCCTACTCACCAAAGTAGGATGCAGCACATGGTTTTTGTAGACTGTTAGGCCCATTGACCCCTCCCCGTTCCCCCTGCAAGAAGACAAGCCCAGCGACTCATCCATCAAGGTATTTGGTGATGGCTAAGACGGTTTTTAGAAGTTTGCCTCAGGGTGTTCTCTAATTAAAAATCAAAAGCATTTTGTGGGTCTGTGAGATCCAACAGTGGGAATCCGCTGGCTTGGGAGATCATGTATCTGGAAAGGTGGCTGAGGGAGATGCTTGGTCTAAGCCTGGGTGTGGGGGCAGGGAGGACAGTAGGGTCCTCTGGGCTACTGTGACTTGGGGTTTCTCCCTCCCCATCTCCCCCAGGCGGCCCAGCTGGAGTCGGCCCGGCCCCCTCGGCTCCGCTACCTGCTGGTAGTGTCCACAAGGGAACACATTAGCCAGGAAGAGACCGTCCTTCTGGGGGTAGACTTCCCAGACAGCAGGTGGGAGAGGGACAAAGCCGGGTGGCGGGGTGGGGGAGACGGAAAGAGAAGGAGGGGCTGGGAGGTAATTAGCATCCTCTGCTCCTGCCAGCTCCCACAGCTGTACCCTGGGCCTGGTCTTACCCCTCTGGAGCGACACTCAGGTGTACCTAGATGGAGATGGGTAAGAGGTGACAAGTGGAGGGAGGGGCCGGGAACGGACGGAGACCCAGTGTGATGGGGACCAGGGGGGCAGTAGACTGCAGGGCCCACCCTGCCCTACCTCAGCTTGCCTCTGGGACCCAGGTGGGCTTCTGGCCTCTGACCGCTAGTCTTCTGCAGGGGCTTCAGTGTGACCTCGGGGGGACAGAGCCACATCTTCAAGCCCATTTCCATCCAGACCATGTGGTAAGGCTGGGTGGGGCTGGCCCAGGCTCAGGCCACGTCACCCAGGCAGGGACAGCAGGGAGGACAGTGTGGCTCCTTCTCCTGTCCCCAGGGCTACGCTCCAAGTGTTGCACCAGGCGTGTGAGGTGGCACTCGACAGCGGCCTGGTGCCAGGGGGCAGTGCCCTCACCTGGGCCTCCCACTACCAGGACAAAGTGAGCTCTGACCAGCACTGCCTCAATGAGTGGATGGCCATGACCGATCTGGAGTCTCTGCGGCCTCCCAGTGCTGAGCCTGGCCGGTCAGTGCACAGGGGCCGGCTGGGTGGGGAGAGGGGCGTGGTGTGGGTGGCTGGGAGCCGGCCCTGGACAGACAGCCTGGCCCCTCCCTAGGCCCCCGGAGCAGGAGCAGATGGAGCAGGCCATCCGGGCCGAGCTGTGGGCAGTGCTGGACACCAGCGACCTGGAAAGCATCACCTCCAAGGAGGTGGGTCAGGGCTCCCCACATCTCCTCCTGCCTGCCCCCGGGCTTCCCTCCAAGATGACCTGGCCTCCACAGGATGGGGTGCTGAGGTCCACTGGGAAGGTGGGGAGGCTGACCCCTGGGAGCTGCCCTCTCCCTCCCCCGACCAACCCGCTCTGCCTGCAGATCCGCCAGGCCCTGGAGCTACGCCTGGGCTGCCCGCTGCAGCAGTACCGTGACTTCATCGACAACCAGATGCTGCTGCTCATGGCCCAGCAGGACCGAGCCTCCCGCATCTTCCCCCACCTCTACCTGGTGAGTGGCCGGCCTGGCCGAGGGCAGAGCGCGGTTGGGCTGGAGGGAGGGGAGAATGGTGCCTCTCCTCCCCTCTCCACAGGGCTCCGAGTGGAACGCTGCTAACCTGGAGGAGCTGCAGAGGAACAGGTAGCCTGGGACCCCCTCTGTGGGCCCCTTTCTCTTGGCCCCCAGCACTTGGCCTGGCCACACTGGCCATGGAGACCCCAAACAGAACTCCCTCCACCCCAGGTGACATGAGGCCTGTGTAGAAGCCTGGGTCCCCCAGGTTATGTGTTGGGCTGCTAACTCTAAGGTTAGCAGTTCAAAACCACCAGCTGCTCCAAGGGAGAAAGATGGGACTTTCTACTCCCACAGCCAGTCTCAGAATCCCACAGGGACAGTTCTACCCTAGCCTCGAGGGTCGTCCCAAGTCGGCATCGACTCGATGACCGTGAGTTGGGTTTTGGCTTGGCCCCGGAGATGGAGCCTTTTCCCTCCCAGTGGGGACCTGGCGGGACTGCCTGCCGACTAGTACCTGCCTTTGGTGCCCCGTGGGCTTCTGGGAAACGTGTGCAGGGCCTGCAGCTCCAACTCCCCAACAGCTGTATCACAGCTCTCAGCCCGAGGTGGAGGGGCCGGTGGGCACCAGCCCACTGCCGACCAGGGCTTGACCACGGCCGCAGCCACCTGGCCGCTGGCTCTGTCACCTCCCACCTGTGGCCTCCCCACCACGTCCCTTCACCAAGCCCGAAGCAGGAGAGTCCAGCAGCCCTGCCCGCGTCAGCCTGGCCCTGGGCCCTCTGCTGCAGGGTGAGCCACATCCTGAACATGGCCCGGGAAATCGACAACTTCTACCCGGAGCGCTTCACCTACCACAATGTGCGCCTCTGGGATGAGGAGTCGGCCCAGCTGCTGCCCCACTGGAAGGAGACGCACCGCTTCATCGAGGCCGCCAGGTCAGGACCTGGGCTACATGCAGGGCTCCTGCCCATGGCCTTGGCCTGGGGAAGGCGGAGCTGACTGTGTCCCGCCCCCCCCCTCCCGCAGGGCCCAGGGCACCCAGGTGCTGGTCCACTGCAAGATGGGCGTCAGCCGCTCGGCCGCCACCGTGGCAGCATACGCCATGAAGCAGTACAGCTGGGGCCTGGAGCAGGCGCTGCGACACCTGCAGGAGCTCCGGCCCATCGCCCGGCCCAACCCCGGCTTCCTGCGCCAGCTGCAGACCTACCAGGGCATCCTGACTGCCAGGTGCCCAGCGAGAAGGCCCAGAGGAAGGGCTGTGTGGGGGTGGGGTGGCTCCTGGGTCACTCAGCTGACTCAAGGCCACCCCCTCCCCACAGCCGGCAGAGCCAGGTCTGGGAGCAGAAAGTGGGTGCGGTCTCCCCAGAGGAGCTCCTGGCCCCAGAAATCTCTCCGACGACTTCCCTAGCCCTTCCCCCTGAACCGGGAGGCAGTGGGGATGTGGAGACCGGGGAGCTGGAGGAGAGTCGGGCAGCCCGGACGGAAGAGCTGAGTCCCCGTCCCCGGATCAACCTCCGTGGAGTCATGAGGTCCATCAGTCTGCTGGAGGCTTCCTCCGAGCTGGAAGGCGCCCCGGGAGCTGGTGACTTGCCAGGGGTGAGGTTATACTCAGGGAAGAGGTGGGTGGGATGGGGAAAGACCAGGACTGGTCTTGGACTTCAGGCTCGGAACAGGCTGGTATCTGAACCTAGACTGGCCTCCTGGGTGGGGGTCCCCTGAGAGGTCAGGGCCCCCGGGGGGCTGGGCCTGCTTCCACCACCACATCCACCCTCTAGTGTGTCCTGAGGAGGGGGCTGCATCCCGGGCACAGCTCTCTTCCCCCACAGTCGCTGAGCAGACCTGGAAGGGCAGGCTTCTCAGAGCAAAGGTCTGTAATCAGGGTCCGCCAGGGCGCCAGGGAAGAGGAGTACCCGGTCTAAGTGGGCTGCTTGAGGGAGCCAGCCAGTGCTGGAACAGGCAGCGGCCCAGCGTGTCCTAAGGCCCCAGCTTCCTGAGTGCCCTGTCCATGCTGAGCGCACATGTAGCTGACCAGAGTTCAGAGAGGACAGGAGGATGGGAGCGGCCTCCTGGGTGCAGAAGGATTGGGAGTTGACGTTCCCAAAAGACAGGGGGCCATCACTCAGCACAGGCACACAGCTCAGGCCAGGGCCTGGCATCACACAGGCATTTGTTTCCTCTGGCAGTCTGGGCCACGTGCAAAGGCAGAGGGGGCAAGAGGAGGAGGTGCGGGCCAGGGAAACCCCTCTCCTGAGGTCATGGTAGGGATAGGGAGACCTGAGGGCCACCTGGAGGCCAGTAGGAAGTGACAGCAGGTGACAAGCAGGACCAGAGGACTGGGTGCTGCCTTCCCTCCTGGGGATGAGGGACCCCGAGCAGCTCAAGTTGTCTGCATTCATTAGATAAACATTTTGCACTTACCACTCCTTCCCTCTCCTCCCAAGGCTTTGTGCCCAGTGTTCGGATCAAATAATAAATAGAATAGATCCCACCGCCCTATTTTTTTTTTTTCCTTCAATGAGGCCTCCAGGAGTACCCTCTTCAGACAATTTCTTTATTGGTAATTTTTATTGTGTGTTGGCTAAAGGTTTACAGAGCAAATCGGTTTTCCATTCAAAGGCCCACACGCATTTGTTTCAGGGGACCCGTTGGCATCCCCACGCAGTGACCTCGATTGTCCCGCACTTCCCCCGTGTTTCCCACGTATATTGCTCTTCCATCCCCAACCCTTCTGAGCTTGGGTAAATGCTGCCATCTTGATGGCACATGGTCGAGGGGTCAAAGGCGGGCACACATCCATCCCTGGCGTGACTGCCCCTTAGAGGCCGTTTCCTCTTTGCCTGCCCTGGAAAGGTGTCCCCGGGACACTTCCCTGTTCTCTCACCTCCAGGTGTTCTCTTCCAATGAGTCTTCAGACGAAGACCCTCCACAGCCCTCCCCTCAGCCACCGAAGACCAAAGGGGTCCGGGGCTTTCGGCGAGGCCGGAAGGGGCCATGGCCTGCCCTGAAGTCACGCCAGTCGGTGGTTGCCCTGCACAGCGCCGCCCTGGTGGCCAGCAGGACCCAGGCCTTCCAGAAGCAGGAGCCGGAGCCGGAGCAGGGGGAGGAGGCTGGCTGTTCCTCCACACCTAGGTTCCGGAAGGTGGTGAGGCAGGCCAGTGTGGATGGCAGCGAGGAGGAGGGTGAGGCCTGAGCACCCTACATGCCCACACCCCCTAGACCAGTGGTTCTCAACCTTCCTAATGCCACAACCCTTTAATACAGTTCCTCATGTTGTGGTGAACCCCCCCAACCATAA